TTGAACTAAAAAGTGGTTGTTGGTGTTTTATTTTATTTTGTTATATGTATTAATTTATTTTGGTATAAATCCTGATAATAGGTATTCTGTGTAAAATTATGGTAGTTGAAGATTGTTATAATTTTTAATTTTTAATTTACAAAAATATTATTGTTATTATATTAAAGCTGGTTATTTCCTTGTTTTTTTTTGTGACTGTGTATATGTGACTGGTAGAAATTTCAGTTTGTAATCCTTATTGGTTATTTTTATGGTGGTATTAAATATGCTGGTATAGGGGGTAGTTTATGTTAATAATTATGGCAGGATTATATGGTAATGGTAGCTATGGTGTGATAGTAATATGTAAGGGAGTTGGTGGCAATAATAATATAAGTGGTTAATATTTATTGTAAATTGTTAGTAGTGATTAGTAATGTTGGTGGGAGAATAATAAAAATCTATAAATGTAATTATTGTGGTGATAGCTTGAACTAAAGAGTGATTGTTGGTGTTTTATTTTATTTTATTTTCTATATTTATTTGTTTATTTTTATTTATTATGAATCCTAGTAATGAGTGTTTATTCTCATGGTTACATATGGAAATTATATCTGATTGTTTTAAGGTATTAAATATGCTGGGGGAGTAATATGCGTTAAAGATTGTAGTGGATTTATATGTTAATAGTAGGTGTGATGTGTAAGTGATGGTGCTGGGTGTTGGTGGTAATGATAATATTATTAGTTAATAGTTATTGTAAAGTGGTAAAAGTGATTACTAACGGTGGTGCAATGATAATAATGATAGATGCAATTATTTTGATGGCATCTTGAAATTAAATTGTGATTGTTGGTGGTTTGTCTATTTTATCCGTTTGGTATGAATTCGGATAATAGGTACTTGTTCTCATGCCTACATTTGGAGATTATCTCTGATTTTTTGTTTAGTAAGTTCTTTTGCGGTTTGTGTGATATTATTGTTACTTTTTCGTGTAGGCAAAGTAGGCATTTTTTGTAATGTTGCTGTAGGCAGGGGCTTTTTTCAATATTTCCCAACTTATTGTTGGTGTGAGATTTTTGTCTTTTTGCTGCCATATGTATGCAGAAAGTGTTGTGCTGTTCGAATATTTCCTGTTGGTGAATGAAAGGTTGTGATTGTTATTCCTCATCTTGAATGGACCGATGGAGTGCATAGTGTTGTTGTTTGTACTTACCTTGGCTTTGTATATAGTGTTCGTAAGTTGGCAATTTCCCTGGAGTGGACATGTTGTTCTGTTTCTGCAGTTGCATATTGGATCCTTGGTTTTATTTTTGTAGGTTGTCATTTTTTTGTTGTGGTTTTTGATTATATCTGTTATGTTTTTTGTACATCTGTAACTTATCTTTACGTTATTTTTGTTAAATATTTTTGATAATTTGTTTGCTTCAGTGAAGTGTTTTTCTATTAAGTTTAGGAGTATTTTGCCTATGTTCGTTTTAACGGTTTTGTTATATGGTGGATTAAACCAGACAATGTTTCTCTTTCTGTTTCTGCGTTTTGGCTGTAGAGGTATATATTGTAGTTGTTGTGTGTAACCACTTGCTTTTAGTACTTCGTTGTATGGTGCTTTTTTGCTATTGAAAATGTGCATGTTAGATGAGTTCTCAGATAGTCTGCGGCTGATTGATTTTAGTATTTGTTTGATGATAGAAGGTGGATGGTTGGAGGATGTGTGTACGTATGTTGGGGTGTCATTTTCTTTTTTGTATGGTTCATATGTGTTGTTGATCAGGTTAAGAGTGACGTCAAGGAAGTTTACTATTGTTGTGCCTGTATTTATCTCTATTTTGAATCCAATTTTTAAAAAATTAATCAGTTTGTCTGACGATCGCTAAAGCGTGAAACCCAGGGTCACAAACTCACATCTATCCAACGAAATATGTTAGCTCTATCTCTGATATTGAGCGCTTTCTAATAAGTACCGCGCATATAATATATAAATAATTATACATATATATATTTATTTTTATTTATATACACTTTTTCACACACACACACACACACACACACACACACACACACACACACATATATATATATATATATAGTCAAACCTAGTGAGCCAGACAAACCTTTCCCCTAAGCGGATCGTCAGGCTTAGGTTAAACCTGGGTAGGTTTGTCTGGCTCACTAGGTTTGACTAGGTCTGCTCTACGGTTGTATTGATCTCTTATTAGTTAGTTGTTTACTCGTGTCGGGGTTTTTGTTCTTTGGGCTTTGAACCTGTATCTGTGCGATTTTTTCGACAGACTTTCATGTTCCTGGCTCTTTTTTTTTTTAAACCTTTTTCCTTCGACATTGATTTGATTATTGGCAAATCAAAAATTCGAAGGTTTTTCGAGACGAGTATAGTTACCTATATATATATATATATATATATATATATATATATATATATATATATATATATATATATATATATATATATATATATAGATATATATATATTGCTTGTAAATATACATGGATTTTCAGCAAGTTACAACTCCATGCAATTCTTCTTAACTTTGTTGACTTGACAATTTTCCATTTGATAATTGTTATCAAATTAACGTTGCGAAGCTGGCATTCTCCCGTGGACCAAACCAAAGATTATCAAAACTTTTTCACATAAGATGACAAGTTCGAAAATCTTGTAGAGTCTGCTAATATTACTAATGTAAAATATTTGAAAATAAACATGAAATTAAATCTTCCCTTTCATCTAATGCACCGAATGTCATACTGACATAAAACATGCCATGATTGATCAAATGTAATGCGTAGAGATATTTGTGTGGGCAAGAGCAGTGAAAAGGCTGGTTTCTCTCTTGTCAGTAATGGTAATGTAACCATGAAATGATTGCTTTTCTTTCAGAATAACCGAAATAAACTGGTTTTAGAAAAGGAATCAATGTAAATAGTAACAACATTTCCTCTTGTGTGTCTTTATATGCTATTAACCACAAATAATCAAGAAAGAAGGAAATTTTCATAAAGATTTTTCATTTTATTCTCTCTTCGTTTCTGTCTCTGTCAGTCCGCCTGCCTCTCTCTGTTTCTCTCTGATATATATATATATATATATATATATAATAAAAAGGCTTAAACACTAATATTCCATGGTCATAATTTATTCCATTGGAATCGTAAATACGATACAATTCATCAGACCTACAAATTCAAAAAGAAAACAGAAAAAACAACTCCGGAAATAAAAACAGAATTTAGAGAGAGTGTAAGTATGAGGAGTAGGGAGATCAAACCTTAACAGAGAGAATTTTAGGAGAGGTGGGTGGAAGTAAGAGAAAATGAATGTTGTCGGATACATTTATATATTTTGCATACGTATGTATATTTACCACTAATATTATATATATATATATATATATATATATATATATATATATATATATATATATATGTTAACACAATCGTGTTTTAACTCGACTATTTATATATGCTTGTGAATGGTGTATGGATGGCAAGGTCTATTGTGCTACCCAAAGGGTTATAGGGTAGGGTAACGGTTATATTTCAAACTATTCTAGAGACTATTGGGAATATAATTGTGGATATATATATATATATATATATATATATATATATATATATATATATATATATATATATAAAGTATTTCCCCCCAAAGGCGGGATTGCCACTAGCACGCAAGGGCTTACAGAGAGTGAAATTAAGAGTAAAGCGTGGTGTTTGGGGAAGGGATAAAGAGAAGGACGGGGATCGAAGTCAAGGCATCAGAAGATGTCGATTGACATTACATTTAAATTTTTAAACATTATAGTTATCAGGGAAGCAAGTAAGAGGAAGGGAGTTCCACTGTCGGGACGCGCGAGAGAAGAAGCTGTTGGAGTAGAAGAGGCGGTTACATTTAACTGTTCGACAGTCAAAAGGTGGGAGCGTGATGTCACGTTAGTAGCACGCTTAAATCCATTCAGTTGGCGCAGCAGTGAAAATAGCTCGTCAAAGCAGTTACCATGAAAATATATAGTAGAAAAAGACAGGGGGAAGCCACATCACGTCTGTGAGAAAATGACTGGAAACGAGATGCCAGGACAGGACCTATCACATTGCATATCCGTCTTTGGATTATGTCGAGAACCTCGAGATGAATAGCGGGGGTACCAGACTATATATGGCAACAGTAGTCAATGCAAAGACGAATGGTAGATTTGAAGGATGGACTTATATATATATATATATATATATATATATATATATATATATATATATTAAGAAATGGACAAAAGTCCGACAATTTATTTATTAAAGACATTTTTTTTTTAAACGTTTTTTTTTTTTTTTTTTTTTGTTTATAGATACAAGTATTTAAGTAAATGGAACAGAGAAAATAACATTTACCAATCCTGAATGGACGAATATTTTCATGAAAATTTCTCAAGGACGAATCAGGCCGGTAAATGTTATTTTACTGTTTATTATAAACAGAGCATTTATTTAAATACTTGTATCTATATAAAAAGGAAAAAAAAAAAGAACGTTAAACATAAAATGTCTTTAAAAATATATATATATATATATATATATATATATATATATATGTATGTGTGTGTGTGTGGATTAGATTTACGCTAGCGAAACGATCTTTATGAAGGAAGAGAAACCGACGAACCGATTTCGAATTATGACTGAGTTAGTTCATCTCCACTTGACACAAATGTCATTCACAAAGGCATGAATCTACATTTCTGCATTCTCTCACAACGATAGATATTTTTAAAGAAGATTTCTTGTCTCTGGTTATATATATATAATTTCATATCAATAAGCGGTGTATATCATACCTGTATTGACAAGTATAAACTAATATGCTTCCCTGTGCGTGTTGAAGAAGCCACTTTGCGTGCGAGTGATGTCATGATAGAGACGCTTGGAGAGAAAGATAGGAAAGTGCACAGAGAGTTGACGGGGGCGGGGGTTAGATTTCTCCTGCCCTGCGCCATCTTCTTTTATTCCATTCACTCCGCCCAGGTCTTCGTTTCAATTTCTGAATTATGATTTATGTTCGCGTTCTCTTGGTTGGACAGGAGGAGGAAGAAGCAGAAGAAAGCAAAGACGAAGTAGAAAAAAAGAAAAGAAAAGTAATTCGGGGGGTTGGGTGGGGGTTCTGGAGGAAAGAAAAAAAGAATATAAATAAAAGGTAGAAACGGAAAGTAGATAGGAAATTGGAAATTAAAAGGTAACAACTGCAGCAATATAAAGGATAAAATTAGGTCGAGAAGAAGAGGAAGATATAAATAGGATTGAACTAAGAGAAAAAAAAGAAAGAAAGAAAGAAAGGAAAAGAAAGGAAAGGAAAAAAGAAGAAAATAAGTAAAAGCATCAAGACTAATAGTAATAATGTGAAGAAGAAGAAGAAGAAGATATAAAAAGGGATGTGAGGTGAGAAAAGAATAAGGAAAGGAAGGAAAAAGAAAAGAATTTAAAGTAGCAACAGTAATAATGCGAAGAAGGAGAAAATTAAATTTGACAAGATCTGCAGTCTCCCACAAGTAATGAGCTTCTAGTATGAACATACATATGAATGATACCGTAGTAGAAATAGATATTTATGCAATTTTAGACTTAACAAATATTCGGACTAATCTTACTTTGGCTATACAGCATTTGACCCTCCTCTATTCCTTGTAAGTTGTCTTGTTAATTGTTTTGTAACTGATTGTTCTATGTTTTTGTATGTATTTGTTAGCACCGGATACTGGTGCTGAATAAATATATTAAGCACTTATTCATCGCTGTGTATCATTTAGCTCGACGATACAACAAAATTATAATTGTTTTTATAGAAGATTGTTTCTTTGTATGAAAAAAGCCAGATTTCGCCCATGTCTTGAAGAAACCGAGAAAAATACTTTAACATAGAGTGCCTATAATAAGTGGAGTACTTGGAACTGTACCAGAAACACTAGAAGATTGAATAAATTGGACATTTGAAGGCGGGTGGATACTGTCGAGAACATGGTAGTGCTGTGGTCTGAGAGAATTCTGAGAAAGAAGCTGGAAAATTAAGATGATTCTGTTACTCACTCCCAAGCAATAACCAAATAAATAAAATGTTAGCAATATTAATAATGCATTAAATATGAAACAAAAAAATAGCCAATGCTACAATGCCCTAATTCCTAGTTCTTATGAATGGGAAGGAATTGTGAGCAAATTGGAATTATGAAAAAGATTTGGATTTAATTGAGAAAATAACATATACTCCAGCATGGAAAAAGAAAAGTTAAATTCTTTTGAAATTAGCGAATCTAACGGATTTAAATAAGCATCATAAACACACAAACACACAAGAGAATTCCAGATAGTGGACAAAGAGAAGACATTATTCTATAGTGATTTACTTGAACTAGTATCTTCAGCATGGTTGTTATAATAACAGTGTAAGCTGATGGAGTACACAAAATGGAGATGTTTAAAAGAGCTCCACCCAAAACTTGTACGAATGTCGGACTATCTAACATTTTTTCCACAGATAAATGATCTGAAGTTAATCTCACACGGCTTAACTATGAAAACATCGCCCAGTTCCAAAAGATCACGGACGATTGCGGAAAGAGTAAGGCACGCCCTCGTTAGAAAGAGGATCCATTATAACCACTAGATGAAATATCAGTTACAAAGTAAATTCTCTATAACATTGAACTTTCATAGGAAACAAAATCCAGCGACATATGGGCAGGTCCCACACTGAAGAATTCAATAGGATTAAGGTACGTCAAAATGCCGAAGCTAAAGCAGTTGAAACCCACTGAAATGTGAGTTTCACCGTCAACTTCTGATAGTAGTTACCAACATGGGCAATCACCAGTTAAGAAACTCTGAGGAAAAAGTGCTAAACAAAAGTGTTAGATTTATAACAACTATCAAGAGAGTTCCCTATTTAAATATGGGTGCCTAAATTGGAGTAGTTATCTTGAAAAGCCCCAAAACGCAGACTTGATGACTTGAGAAAGCCAAGCCTTCCAAATCGAAGATCACAAGACAGGTGGAAATAAATATCAAAACCGTGAACTGTAATACATCTTTCTTCTTTTAGATCTTAGCTCGCTACACACTACATAGTTCTCCACACAGTCCACAAAAGATCATGATTCTCCACAGCTTCCTATCCTTTGTAACTCTAGGCAAATTTTTATCCTCGTACTAGTTCTTCTAGCCTTTGTTCTATTCATTTACCCAAAATAATTACATAGGTTACTCGCTGTTTACTTCTGGCTCTTTTCCTTCAATATGTCTTGTGAGCGTCAAATTCTCTAGGCTTCGCTTCCTCTTTATATGTCTCAGAAATTTCAACTGTCCTTTTCTGATACTAAGTATTAGTGTCCTGTTAGCTTTTTAGTTTGAGGCGAAAAAAGAAGAAAAATATGAGAAAAGAAAAAGAAAAAGAGAAAAGGCGAATAAAAAGAAAAAGGAGAAACAGAAAAGTTTAAAAAGAAAAAGGAGATATAAAGTAAAAGAAGGAGATTTGAAGGTGAAAGCAAGGAAAAGAAAAATGAAAGAGAAGTTGATGAAAAAGAAAGAGGAGACAAAATGCTAAAAATGAAAAGGCGACATAAAGTAAAAGAAGAAACAGCCAAAAGTAAAAGGAAATTGCGAAGAAAACGGAAGAAAATGGAGGAAGAAGCCGATGAAAGAAAAGAAAAAAAAAACAAAAACAATCAAATCGAGTAACAAAAGCAAGCTTCAGCGAACCAAAAGACAAGGGCAGATCATTTATGATCATCAGAATTATTTGGTCATTCCAGAGCCTCGCTCTGCCCGTCATTTGCTCGGTTAGGCGACCGAAGGTCCAAGCGAAGACCATTCAAATGTCCCGTTCAGCTCGCGTACACACCAATTTTCGTTCACCTTTCTCACCCTGTCCGGACTCATATCTAGCCAGTGTTCCTATCGAGACCGTAGGACCGTGACCTCATCTTGGTCGAATCACAATAACAACAGTGCGATTCCATTGCGTAGTCTCAGCAGCGCTAAAGAGGGGACAACCTGATGGTCATCTGCTATTTAAAAAGCAATAAATGCAAGCGTATTGGACGTAATTAGTCTAGACGATTGGTCATTAGGCAAAGGATGGTCGTCTAACTTGTGAATATTTTAGTCGTGACTATAAGGAATGAAATAACCAGTGTAAAGTTTGGCAGGTTTTCGAGAAGATAGATGTGTGTGTGTGAATGTGCGCACGCGTGTATGTGTGCGTGTGTCTGGGGGTGGGGGTGGGTGTTTGTGTATGTGTCTAATAAGGAAAGAAGCGAAATAAAAAGACACGCATAAACGCAGGCATATATATCACAATGTGCATCCATATATATATATATATATATATATATATATATATATACGAGTTTCGTTAAAGACACATTGTGGCCGTGCTCGTATTTAATGTTATTGAGTGTTGACTTTTCCTTCTTTATTATTAAGTCTTCCATTAGTTCTAATCTTTTTCTACACTTCGATGAAGCTATTATACTTGTATTTGTTACTAGTATGCTTCCCATGGAGTTTAGTCGGTTTTATTTATTGCAGTTGACTGACAAGCTAGTGGGATTAAGTTTTTCATTCAAATTTTCTTTTCTTTTCTTGGCTATTGTGAACGAGGCCCCACAAAAGAATGCGATTTATCTATTAATTTAATTTAAATTTTTATTTTATCTTGTCTTTTTATTATTTTTATTATTATAATATAGATAAAATATGTGTGCACATAGCCGTTTACAGATGAAGTCACTCTAGACCATGTCAAACGTTCAGCTACCCAAAGAAAACCAGAATGCAGACAAAGGAATTCTAACAACCACACAAGCGCCGCATCGGTTCTTTTATAATGATTGAAAATGGAAACTACTTGAACAAAAATAAAATATTAACTTCGGACAGTTTATCCACAACTTCAAGCAAGAAACTCAACACGTTATTTATGCACAAAGCCAAATCACGTCGAAACACCGCTTCCCGTACGATCACTGACATATAGCAACATCGAACCTGGCGGATGCTATTTTATTAAATTTTGAATACTTTTTTTCATCATCTTATTTTTGCTACTTTGTAGCATTCGTGTTTTTTTTTATTCTGCTGAGTAAGCAATCGGGATAAAAATAAAATTCTTCGATTTCTATGGGAACTTCTCTCACTAAAATAGTTAGTAGTTATTAAGCTCAAATGCTAACATCTTTATACAGCATTTATATTTTGTCATATACCCAACGTCCTCTTGCGAAAAAGTGCAAAATCAATAATAAGAAGTTTGCTTCATGAAAATTGCTTCATGAATTTTATAAATTCCGACAATATTTTGACTATGCACTGGTAAAAACCCTTTTATTGTGAGATTTCATTAGGAGAGATTAATTTTAAGTAAATTAAAAAAAAAAATCGCTCGAATAAGCTAAAACTAAACCTCTCCTATTAATCTCTAAACTAGGAATAATCAGTGTTGAAAACTACGCCTCGCGCTTTCAGGAAATCTAGAAACTGTCATTTGTTGGAAAGTTAAGGACATGGTCTTCGTAAGTCAGACAAAAACAGACCTCAATCGTTAAGATATCAAAAACTTTTGTTGACATCTGACCCCGTTTCTGTGTCCTTCGTGTTCATTGTCGGCTTAAGATGGTAGGTAATGGTTCCAAAATTACTACTCAATTGGACATTTTCAGAAGAGAATTTAATAGGAAAATGTTGCCAGTGTTGCTTACCCACCCCTTCACAAAACACAAATGTGGCGGGAAAAGAAAGGCCACAAAAGTGGAGTAGACGTTTCTCTTGAAAATTCAAAATGTCAGTCAGGCGAGGTAGGGTGAGGGATTCTCTGACAGCAATCCTCGAGGCAAAACTATCTTTTACATTTGATTTGTCTGCTGTGTGTAATTGTATTTATTTAAAAAGGCTAGCTTAGTCTGGCACAAGGTTACAATATCGGAGTACATAATCTGTGTCGCTCGAAGCAGATTAGCAAGTAGTCTTCGAAATTAGCTCGTTAAGCGTCATTTAGATATTTATTCAGCTTATTTATTAATTAAGAATGAATACAACAATATGGTAATCGTATTAAAAAATATGGTTACCATATTGTTGTAGTCATTCTTAATTACTAAATAAGCTGAATAATTACTGAATAATCTGAATTATGTTAACACCTGTTTAAAAATAGGTGTTCTCATAATTCAAGGCTAAAGAGCCACTCTAGGTAGAGGGTTATTGAATACTGTTGCATGGAGATAAGAGGAAGAAGATAAGAGAATGTTATGCGAATATGTAAAATAGATAACAGTTGACCCTAGTCTTGAAGAGATTAAGATTGTTGTAATCGAGAAAGCATCATCTCGGGAGTTTATTCAACAAAGTAGCAGTTATCTAGAAGAAGTTGAGGGAAAGTTCCTACACGCAAATGGAATATTAACAGAATGACGCTGATTCCACTCCGTTACACGAAATTGCAGGTCTTAGATGTAAATGTCTGAAATGGTAGAACAAGGAATTAGCTCGTCTGAACATCTGCCATGGAAATAGCGATAGA